AACAGCCACGCAATCCATCCTGTTAGGAATGTTTGTTCGAAGGTATTGGTATCTATTCCATTCTCTGTTCCTGTCACTTGGCCAGAAAGTGGTGGTCCTACACGACAAAACATCTGCTGACCAACCTGCAAACACGAATACAAGATCGAATTGCTGTCGGCCGCTCTTCTGACTAAACCCGAGACCCTGCGCCCGACAGTCCAGAGAAACGCGAGGGCAATGAAGCATAGTAGCCTTGGAACAGAATCAGGCCCAAGATCATGTCAAGGATCTTATGGTTTAGGGTTTGGGTTGAGGGTGTAGGGCCCAAGATCATGTCAAGGATCTTAGGGTTAAGGGTGTGGGTTTAGGGTTTAGGGCCCAAGATCATGTCAAGGATCTTGGCAGGGTTCTGGAATTCCTAATGTAGGGCCCCTCGATGAGCTTGAACAATAGATGTGGGAAGGCACATCAAGGATCTCGGGGCAGGGTTTCTGGAATTCCCCATGGCATGAACAGTGAGAACGGGCTTTGGACTATGTTATACTATAACTATAATAAGGTATCCCCCGAAAACTAATATAGGTACTTATTGAGGTGGGTAGTTCTCTAAATTAGGGTCCCTCTTAGCTCCCCAATATAGTAGGGCACCCTTATACAAAGGATCCCAAAAGGGACCCTACTTTAGAGAACTACCCATATCATTGGGCGGGGACCTTAATGAGCTGGTGTATGACATCGTAAGGGGGTCTGTAGAAGTTACGACGCTGAGAACCATAATCATCGCAGCAAAGTGGCGACGCTACGGTTGATGATGCGAATCAGGGTTCCAGGGTTTAGGGGTTAGGGTTTAGGGTAGCATTACCTTAAGGACCCTAGACTATGGGAATTGTGGTATATTTCTTACTATGGAGAATGCAAGGCCTATATCATCCACCGTATCAAAAACAAAAACACCAGCAGTCGGTAGCAGCAGCAACAACAACAACGACGACAACGATTGGGACAACAATGGGCCTGAAACCCTGAACCCCTCAGACCAAACCCGGAACCGAAACCTTCAATAGGGTATGAGGGGTTGAGGGTTTAGGCTTTAGGGTTTAGGGTTTAGGGGTTTAGGGTTTAGGGTGTAGGGATTTAGGGTTCAACCCATGAGCCTGAGTCGCAAACCCTAAACCCTAAACCCAGAACCTTAGACCCTCAAGGAAACGCCGAGTGCGGAACAAGCATGGCATGAGGGAATAGAAGGCGGCCACCTCGGCGAAAAGGCTGATGGGAATGGGTTCGTTTCTGATCACCACCTAAAGCTTAAGGTTTAGGCTATTCCGTCTATTCGAGGACTCTTTGAGGCTTAGGGTTTAGGGCCAGGGTTTAGGAGAGGTTTTGGGGCCATTGCCCTGGCTGTTTTGAGATCTCCGGACACCCCAATAGGGTTTAAGTTTAGGTTCGGGATTTAGGGTTTAGAGAAACTCTTTTGGGTTTGGACCGAAGAGTTTTGACCGAGCTTGTTCTTTTGGAGCCTGCTTTTGAATTTGGGGCGGGGCCATAGGCCTGGGGTGAGCTGATGTGGGTGGTTGGGGGGCTGGGCTGGGGGGGTGCGCTGGGCTGGGCTGGGCTGCTGGCTGGCGCGGTGCTTGGCTATCGCGGGAGGGTTTGGTGGTGACTTGATTAGAACGGAAATTGGCTTATAGAAATTGGAAAGGTTGTGTTCCGACCCGAAATAGGGTTTACGGATGCCCGATCACTCGATTTACCAATTTGAAACCCCACCCTGCTCCTTTTGTTTGAACCCTTCCCTAACCTGGGTTGCGGTGGCTGCGCTGAGGCGGGCTGAACTGAATGATTGGATTGGCCAACAGCAACAAGCACTTTTTATTCTTTCTTTCTCTTGAGGGTTTAATTAGGGTTCGGGTTTCAGGGTTTAGCGTTTATAGGGAATGTGCAGCTCGGCCGCGTAGTGGACAGCTGTCACGCCTGCGGCATGGGTGCGGCTTGTGCTAGGAGACTGTTAGTTCAGGAATCTACCCTAAGCCATACTTCGGGACTTCAGGGTGAGGGTTGGTTTAGCGTTCTAAACTATAAAACTCTATATATATATATGCAAATAAAGTCCTGTACAGTCTACGTAAGACCTCTGGCTTAATGAAGGGTATTTAGAGTCTCCATGTGTCCTACAGCCACGGACACGTGGAGGGACCGAGGGGCCTCCGAAACCCCAAACTCCGGAAGCAGAACCTCAAACAGACACATGGCAAGCGTTTGTGGGTCAAAGCCTCTGAGAGTTAAGCCACCTGAAGCCCTAAAATCTAAACCCTTAAACCGTACAACCCTAAAAACCTAAACCCTAAAACCCCAAAGCCCTAAAGCCCCCTAAAGCCCTAAAGCCCTAAACCTTAAGCAACCTAAAGCGTAGGCCCGAAGCCCGGGACTCCTCGAACCCAAGCCCGCTGACTTCCTGGGGCTGGAGGCTTCGCCCTTTGGGGTTTCGGGGTTTAGTGTTTAGGGGTTTAGGGGTTTAAGGGTTTAGGGGTTTAGGGGTTTAAGGGTTTAGGGCTTTAGAGTTTCGGGTTTAGGGTTTCGGGGTTTAGGGTTTTAGGGTTTCGGGGTTCAGGGTTCAGGGTTTAGGGGTTTCAAGATGTATCGCTCTCAAAAGCCTCGGCACCAAACCCGAAACCGGGGCTTACGGGTGTTAGCGTTGAGCTCCAGATCTTTGCTTTTACCGTCAAGTGTCTGGGCTTAGAAAGTAGATGGGGGTCTCCAAGCTAAGCCATTAAACACCAAGGAGTAGACCTTACATTTTTAAGGGTCTTCAGAATATGGTTTAAGCTATAAACCCTCAACCGTCTCAACCCCAAACCCCAAACCAAAACAAACCCTTAAATCGACAGAGCCCTAATCCCCAGAGCCTCACCTCTGCGCGTAACCCAAGGCTGCTAATGCTAAAGCCTAAACCCGAAAGCCCCAGCCGCCCACCCGAAAGAGCCTGATATTCCCCATCGGAGAGTCAAGAACTACTGCTGATGATATAAATCCTCTATTACCCATAATAAGGGCGTTGGGTTCAGGGTTCAACAATAAGGAATATACCATCATTCCCATAGCTTAGGGTCCTTAAGGTAATGCAGCATTTGCATCATCAACCCTATGACTATGCCTTAGGTTGTAGGACTGACCTGGCAAGTTGAAAAGCTAGTGCTTAAACACTGTGTGACGACAGTGCTTGGCCATGCCTTCTCAAAACCTCAACCCACAAGCACCCGGATAGAGACCTTGTGTTGTACTTGGGGGTCATGTGGCTTTGCAAGTAAGCCTAGAAAGACCTCAACTGGGGTTAGCTTTAAGTACAAGTGCAGATACCGTACTCATAACCCTTAGGCCTATGCACTAAGTCCCATCATCTGCTGAGTGGCCTTTCACAGTAATGCATAAACCCTCAGCCTAAACCCGGTTGAGGCGCGGAATTTAACGGTGGGTATTCCATGCAGCGAGGTACCTGTTTATCCCCTGGAGCATCGTTTTCCGACGGAATTCCGCTCCAAAAGCCAGAAAGCTAGTACTGGAGAGAGGGGGGCTAACAGCCCCATTTAAGCACCATAAGATCCCTTTACAATACTGCACCCTTTAAAAACCTAAAAGAGTGTAGCTGGTTGGTCACTGGAGGCCTTCGTCACCCTACTATAATACTCTAAACCCTAAACCCCTAAAACCCTAAACCCTAAACCCTTAAAACCCTAAACCCTAAACCCCCAAACCCAAAGCCCCTACCTTCGTTGGGCCAGGTCCAGGTGCCCAGAAGGAAGCCAGACCTTTGCAAGCGTTTAGGGTTTAGGCTTTAGGGTCTAGGGTTTAGAGTTCAGGGTTTAGGGTTTAGGGTTGGCCTTGGGGTGTAGAGATTGGGATTTGGGGATCAGAGTTTGGGTCTGTTGTAGCTTGGACTCAGGAGATTCAGACTTAGGCATCGAGGCTTCAGGCCTGGCGGATAAGACCGGCGGTGGGGGGCGTTAACCCTACAATCCTAAAGCCAAAACCCAAAACCCTAAACCCCTAAACTCTAAACCCGAAACCCCAAACCCTAAACTCTAAACTGGGATTTACAGCTATTGCGATCTCCGGAGTTTGGGGTGTTGAAGCGTCGAGGCACTGCGGTAAACCCTCCGAAGCCTTTCAAAGCTCCACAAAACCTACTCCTTGGGGTTTCAGGGCTTCCTTTAGAGCAGGTTTTCAGGGGTTCCTTTAAAGGATCTATGTAAGGGCTTAGGGGTTCTTTTTTTTTCATAGGGGTTTAGGGTTTCCTTTAAAGGTTATACAACACTACAAAGTCACTTTATCCATTGCCCCCCTGATGAAAACCCTCCTTCAAAGCGCCTGAAAGGTCCTTGCCTAGGCCCTAGCGACCAAGGCCCACTTCTGCTTTCGAAGTTCTTCTCTTCGTAAAAAGATTTCAGGCTGGGCTTCTATGGGTTTTGGGTTTAGGGTAGCAGTGAGGGCTGATGATTATGAAAGTTTCGAATTTGGCGGCTAGGGCTTCGGACTTTGAGGGCTTCCAAGAAGCAGGTCCCCCAAAAGAGAGGGTTGATCATATAAATCCGGCATTACCCATATTAAGGAATATACCAAAAATTCCCATCGCTCAGGGTCCTTAAGGTAATGCAGGATTTATACCATCACCAGCAATATAAATCCGGCATTATCCATAATAAGGCATATGCCATAATTCCCATAGTTTAGGGTCCTTAAGGTAATGCAGGATTTATATCATCAACAGGATGTCTGGCTTGCAACCGAGATTTAGGCTCTGCTTGGCTTTATATGGATAGTTCTCTAAATTCGGGTCCCTTTTGGGTCCGGTCCTTTTTTTATAAGGGTGCCGTACTATCTTGGGGACCCAAAAAGGGACCCTAATTTAGAGGAACTACCCACATGAAGGGCCCTTGTTTTCTCAAACTCCCTTCTCTCTCACCCTTTGCAAGAATCCTGCACTTGTCTGCCATCAGCTCAAGTCGTGAAGTGTGCATTCGCAGCTAGCTGCTGATTTCAATCAAGCTGGTGGTGGTGGGGCTGCAGTCAAGAGACCGCAATATGCGATAAACATAACCATTGTAGCTTCTCATTGTGGGTAAGCCGTGCTGCAAGCTGTACTGGGTCATAGCAGCCAGTACGTCCTCGGACGTGGTGTGAACATTGGAGAGAAGCCCTTGCTTGCAGAGGAGCCGCCGGATCGTGCTGTCGCTCGGTGCAACTTTCCAGCGAGCTTGGGAGAGATTTGACCGGAAGGCACAACGTAGTTTGTCAAGGGTGTCCGCGAAGTTGTCCTTTTCGGTCGGCAACAAGTCCAGCTCCTTGCGGAGCACGTGGGTATTGTGAGGTGCATTGACAAAAACCAAAGCTGCTTCCTCCATATCCGTGTTAAGGTCGCCGTCCAAATACCCCAGTTTTGTAAATGCACGTTGGACCAACGCTCTGGAATCTTTGAGCATCACGGGCCCGCCTCCTCTGTATATCTGCCGGCTCAGACTTGTTCCATAGAGATCCTGCTGCTTCCTTGACATACGTGAAGGCGTGGCCACCGGAAGCAAGAGCACTAAGTCGTCTCGATATTTCCGCCATGGCCTCCGGCTTGAAGCCATGCCACAGACTTTCTTTGTGGCGAACTGCTGCGGAAAAACGATGAGCGACCCCAATGAGTTTGCAAACCAGAACTTTGCCGTGCTCTGCGTCGTTCCTTTTTGTGGGATGCCTGTTGTGTACCCCAAGTCATGCAAGAAGTTGTTACACAGCTAGCCATCTTCACTGGCGTCATACTTGAATGGTTCTGCGAGCTCAACATGCCCAACTCCATTTGCATGGAGGACAGCTCTGACTTTGCTGAAATTGCTTGTTCGGCATACCAACTCGATGATGACGCGAACACCGCAACCTCGATATTGGTTTATGACTGCTACGTTTCTTGTCGAGGTGCACAGGCAAACAGAGGCTCCTTCTTGCGCAACGTCTCGCAGGACATCCTTGTATCCGCAGTCTGATGCTAGCAACGCAATGCACCTGTTCTTCCTGGATGCAGCTAGCCTCTTACAAGCACTGACAATGGCCTCTTCATTGGCCTCCCCACGATTCCAGCCCATGTCCGAGCACGACAG